GGCACCCTGTCGCGGTCTGCTGACAAGCGACCGGTAGCCTCGTTGCCCGCGGGGGTTCGGTCATCGTCCTTGCGAAAGGCCAACCCGAGTCCTTCGCGTCCTTGGTCTCAGGGGGGCAGCAGCACACCCGCATCTATCAAAGTGCCTACTGTACCGCCTTTGCTGGTGCCTCCATTGTCGACACCTATATCTCGACCCAAACTGTCTCCGGGTGCCAAGTCTCTGAGTGCGTTATCATCGGGGGCATCACAAGAGAGAGAACGGTTGATGAAGGCACTTCAAATGCGGAAAACGCAATTGGCGAAGAAGGCAAGAGAAGAGAAGAAGAACGAAGCTGCTGACAAAAAGGGGGCAGTGAAATCGGATCCGACCGAGAATAAGGAGAATACCAGCTCCCAGCTCCCTGAAGAAGTCAAACTTCAGGACGAGCCAGTACCAGTTTCGGAACCCGGCAACAAGCCCCTATCTGAAACGGAGGGAACCATGACTCCTGGGGAATTACAAAAGGAGGAAGGGAGCCCTACAGTTCCCGGTCAGACGAATTCCGGGTTGTGCCTGCAGGAGGCTGATACGGCGACCCCTAATCCTCCAGCATCGACCGACAAAAACAGCCGCCAGATTGCAGCAACTACTAAAACCTCCCAGCCGACATCCACCCTGTCGGAATCTGAAACACACGCTTTAGAAGGGGCCTTGGCTGCGTCCGACGACGGGGAGACTACGGGTGGCCCCTGCACGCCTAGCGCCGTATTCCACGTCCCACCAGAGAACGATTCTGGAAAAGCTCCGAAGGAAGAAATTGTTGGCCCCTCGCCACCCCAAACGGATAACAACAGCAACAATCCTCTTGTTCCTGGCGAACAAGAGGTCAATTCGACTTCGGAATCAATTATCCAGGCTCTTCAATCCGAATCAAGTCCTCGGCCCAGCTCTCCTTCTTTCATTTCGCGCCCAACTCCCTCCCCCGATTCGCCGTCGATCACCGTGCCTCATTCTCCCGAGCCGCAGCATGACCTGACCCCTGAATCCTCGAATGTGGAGCGACAGCATAGCACTACTCGAAAGGAGAAACGCAAACCTTACCTTGAACCCATTCAAGTACCTACTCCAGACTACTCTGATGACGAGAACCTTCTCTCTGACGATTCTTTCATGGAAGAATTAAAAAGTGCCACCGTTGAAGAGGCCAAGCCGATCTCGGTCGGCATCTCACCCCTCTCCCCCGGATACTCGAACACAAGCAACGGCAACACCTCGCCCGACGCGTGGAGGAACTCCCGTGCCGTCTCAAATCCAAGCGCTATTGGACATCAACCCCCCGAAATGCAGGCATTAGCCATGGGTCGGTCGGTGTCGTCCTCGTACGCCGATGCGGGAGACAGCAACAGCCCCGTCCTAGTGGCCAAAAAGATCAATGTCTCGTCCGGCATCTCCAAGCGCATCAAGGCGTTGGAGAAGTTCTCCAATACCCGCGAAACCACCCCTACCGCTGGCCAGACCCTGGCCGCTCCTTCCTTCGAGTCCCTGCGTAAGGGCTATTCCGAGGCCTCGACGATCTCGAGACCTGTTTCCTTCTACCCCGAATCCTTCTCTCGCACAACCAGCCTACGGCGTCCTGTATCTCAGGCTGGTCCTGGTCTCACGCGTAGCGCGAGTTCGGTCTCTGTGACCGCTCGCATAGTTCGTGAGCGTCCTTCCACCGGAATCGAACCAACCGCCGATTCCCCTGAGTCAAGCTCGCTCAACCTCCTTGCTAGTCCCCTGACTATCGAGCACAAGACTATTCCCGATTTCCCTATTCCACCAACTCATATAGCTGAGCCGGTGGTCACGCCAGCTGAGGAGCCGAGCGTGTCCGCGGCTTCTGAGGCATTGGAACAGCAACCCTCCGCTGCGTCTATCTCGCGATCTGAGAGCAGGTCGTCTCATTCCTCAACCCCCAAGAATGAAGAAGCCATCGACGACACTCCCTCGCCTGATGTACCCTCCTCTCCTGACGAGAAGAAGACGTCCCGCACTTCCCGGCTCCTCCGTCGTATGTCGTCGATAACTTCTAATTCCCGCAAGACCGTCATGGCTGCTCTAAGTCCAATGGTCAACGAGGAAGAGACTGCGCCGAAAGACAAGCCGGAAGTTGCTCGTGAAGCCGCCCAAGCAATCGACATTGGCGAGGTCAACGTCCAGTTTCCCGATACTCTGCTATGGAAACGTCGCTTCATCCGTATCGATGACAAGGGATATCTGGTGCTGACACCTGGAAACCTTGACTCGAGCAATCGTAACCTGGTTAAGCGATACCATTTGACCGAGTTTCGCACGCCTTGTCTTCCGGATGAAGATCGACAGGAACTTCCGAACAGTATCCTCCTAGACTTCAACGACGGAAGCACGCTTCAATGTGCTTGCGAATCAAGGAATGGTCAATCTTTCGTTCTTCAGAGTAAGTCGTCATCTCTCGCTGATATTGACTTCGTTCGCTAACTTGGAAGCAGCATTGGTTGATGCTCACCGCAACTACGGTCAAACGCTGGCTCAATAGTCCCTTGCATTACTCTAGAGAACATTTGCATCCTCGTTCATCGCTTAACCATGCATACTCTCCGCCGTCTTTCTATATCTTGTTACCCGGTGTTTTCAGCGGTATACCCCTCTAAAATGGACCATTTTGTTTACCAGCTGTTCGGTATCTGTTTTTAATTTCTTCAATCTTCAAGCTTTGTGCTTCACTTCTTGGGTTCTTGTGATTTCAGCACATCCCAGTCACTTGCTGTGGGCCTATTTGACATTGTCGAATTCGCGTGAACCCTCCGTCAGCATTGATGTGACTGGGCTTCATCTCCCGTTGGGCGCGCTTCGCTTTTTTCGAACAACCAGGCTCAAGTCAGCCTGGTCAGTAGATCATTGAATATGGAATTGTATGTTTCTGGTTGCCCATGTCGGAGGTCTCCGGACACCAGGTGGCTGTCCTAGTACTATGGTCCTCTCGTCTATGGACGTTTAGTCCTGCTTTCCGCGGAATGTATTATCTACAACTCAACTGAGGTTTAGAAATGAAGCAAACCATCCACCCTTTTCATTAAAACGCCAAACCCAGATCAATTACAGATAGAATGAATTAGTTCTTTCCCTCGGCCTCATTTTCAGCGGCTCTCTTGTCCTCCCATTCTTGCAGGAACTGCTGCACCTTAGGGCCCCAGACCTCCTCGCCGGCCTCGAGGTCCTTGTACTCGAGCACCTTCTCGGGCTCGAGCACGAAGTCGGCTTGACGAGAGCGGACCAGGGAGCTCATCAGTCCGCAGCTGCCGACGGCCTTGCCCAGGTCGTGCGCTAAGGAGCGAACATAGAAGCCGGACGAGACGGTCATGGTGATCTTCACAGCGGCGGGTTGGGGCCGAGCGGGTGCTTCCTCCTTCTTCTCGGTTGCTTCCGGGACGCTTGACGACTCCGCCGCGGCGGTCTCCTCAGACTGTGCAGGAACGCTGTCACCGTCCTCAGACACCTTGACCTTCTTGGCAGCGGGGGCCTCCTCGGACTCTTCCGCGCCAGCCGCGGGGCCACTTCCCTCCTCAACTCTGGGAGTCTCGGCAGGAGGCGAGGCCTCAGCCTCAGCCTTCCGCTTCCCCGACCCCTCCGCCTCCACCTTCCCCTCCTCAGCAGCCTCCCCACCCTCCCCAACGGACAAAGCATCCTCCTTCCTCAGCAAGCGCTCGGCAACCTCCCTCTCCTCCCCCACGGCCTCCACCTCAGGCCACTTGTACCCATGCGTCCCGGGCTCGAACCACTCGACGACCCTCAAATCCAGCACCTCGACGGGCCTCGCCTTGATCTCGACGGGCGGCTCGACCCCCTCCCGCGCATACTCATACAGCCGCTTCCCCTGCACCCGCAACGCACTGAAGATGGGGGGCCGCTGCATGATCTTGCCGCGGAACTGGTCGAGGGCGCGCTCGACGGCGTCGCGGGTGACGTGCTCGTAGGGGGCGCGCCGCACCACCTTGCCCAGGACGTCGTAGGTGTCGGTCTCGGCGCCGAACAGCACCACCGTCTCGTAGGTCTTGGTGCACCCCAGGAAGTTGTTGAGGTACTTGGTGCCCTTGCCGACGCCCGCCACCAGCACCCCCGTCGCCAGCGGGTCCAGCGTGCCCCCGTGCCCGATCTTCAGGTCCAGGCGCTGCGTGCGCCGCCGCCGCCGCTGGAATTGGTTCTCCCGGTCGCGCCGCGCGCGCTCGTGCGCCAGCCACGGCTGGAAGAGCGCCGACGGGTTGAAGTGTTTCTGGAGCGTGCGGATCACGTCCGCGGAGGTCACGCCTTGGGGTTTGTGAACGGCTGCGTTTTTGGATTGAGTTTATTAGTTGAGTTGGATATTGAGTAAGAGGGTACAGAAGATAGAGAAAGAATGACAGTGGAGTTGAGGGTAAGGGCCAGGGCTCATGCATACCGAATACGCCTTCGTAGATCTTTTCTCCGCTCATGGTGGTGCGGAAGAGCTTGAAGCTGCGGGGGAGGCCCATCGGCCGCGAGAGGGGTGAGTATGGAAGAGTTTCGCAGGTTCAGAGGAAGTGAAATGTGAAAGCGCGATTCAAGCACTTCAAATCAAAAGTCCGTAATTGTAGCTCGTGGAATTGACACAATCGATGAATTAAATGCTAGGCCGGAGAGACCATCCGGAGAAGGATTCTAAATTTCGGCTCGCTGCCTCGCAATTCTGCCGGTCTAGTCTAGGCGGTCCGTCCGGCGGTCCGCAACGGCAGAACCACATGTAGCCCGCCGCCATGTTGCTGTTGTCGGAAATGACCGCCCATCCCGGAGCATTGAAGTGAGTAAGTGAGTAGTAACTTATTGGTAGTAGTAGTTCGACTGTCATGCGCCCGTAATTACCAGGAATTCACCCTCTCATCCCCGCAGTTTAATGTGTAATGATACGTAATTTCTCGGATCTCGCTCCCTCTCTCTCTCTCTTGGTACACTCTAAGCTTCTCCTCTCAGCTCCCCTCGTTCCTGTCTGTTCCTCTTGCCAGTCTTTTCCCCAATTATAAATTCCTTTCGTTCTCCTCTCCACCTAGTCTTTCCTCATAATATCTTTCGTTTACACAGAACCCCTCGAACTATCCAAGCCATCAACGTTCAGGTCGCTTTCCGGTTTACCCAAACTCTCTCACCTCAATCCCCATTGCATCAGCACCGCAGATAACAATATGCTCCCCCCACCACCAGAGACATGACCTCGCGCGAAGATAACGTCCTCACCGCTCGCGACCCGGCTCTGACGGACGAGAACGAGTGGGAGGAATTCAGCCTGTCCGAGGTCCGCGTTTTGTTTCCGGGAAAATCCCGCTATGCCAATCTCCTCACAGCCTCGCCGGACAATCCTGTCCAAGTAACGGGGTGTTTGGATGAAGTGGAGGAAGAACAGGAGTCTCTGGGTTTGTCCCCCCTCATATCTTTCCCCATTGACAGGATTGAATGTTGCGCTACTGCGAATTGGATGATGCTGACATCATCCTGTGAATGATAGTGCTCGATCCGGAATATCTTACCAAACGCATTGTCCTAGAGAATGTCACGCACTACGCCTATGGCCAACATAATGACGGAGAAGTCGGGTTTTGGGTTGCGGGGCGGGCGGGGTGGTTCTCCATCTCTCCGGCGAAGGGCTACAAACCGATGTTCAATGAGGTAGTGGAGGCGATCGATCTGTTATATTTTCTAGCGGATCGACACAAGCGCAAGAGGGGTAGGAGGAAGTTCGAGGGTCCCAGTGTGGAGTATCTATTTGAGGAGGTGAGTGTATTTCCCTCTGCCCTATATACCTCCAAGGACAGAAAAGTTGGACGAGGGTTAAAACAGAGAAACAAGACCTGGCACAAGGATAAGACATGGCTGGCGCGCGCATGCTCAGGATGCATGGCGATTGGATGATTCAAGGCTAATGTCTCGGCTCTCTGCCTTTTGCCTAAACAGTATGTCAGCCACACGCATGGGATCTGCGAAGATGCAGATGATTCCGCCGAGGTGTTCTACAAGCATCATAACTTCTTGCTGTCACGGATGTTGAAAGGGGAGGAGAATGTGCAGTGGTCGACAACGCATATTCTCGCCCACCTGAGCGAAAGATTTCCAGTATGTCTCGGATTTTCTTCTCCTATTCGAGTATGGGTGCTAATCTGCGGCAATAGGAGGATTATGAACAGATCAAGGCGCAGATTGAAGGCGTGGACGAGGTCGAATCAGAGGAGGAAGAAGAGAGTACTCCCGAGAAGACGGACGATGAAAAAGGCCGCGTAGCAGACTCGTCAGCGTTGACGAACGCCGACGCGAATTCGATTTACCAAATGATCCTCGATCTCAAGGAAGAGGGTTACTTGGCTAAGCGCCAGCTGAATCTCGACCTTGTCGCATCTACGCTGGTCGATCGATTCGAGATTGACGACGACGAATATGCGCACAGTCGGATTGCGGCAAGCGCCGAAGTCATCCTGGAACTGATGGATGAGGCGAAAACATCTTCATTTGACTGGTCCAGAAAGGTCATCTATCGCGAGCTGAAGGCGGCCTCAAAGCAGCATGGTGGATCTTCGCAGGAGGCGATGACCCCGCTTCGTCCGCGCATGTTAGAAAGCGAGGCATCCTCCCCTGAAGACAGCGACCAAGAAGACCTTCCCCGATTGCGCAAACGTCGAGTACTCAAGTCCGTTCTGCGGCCTAAGAGTGCAGTGGCCACGAAACGAACGGGCAAGCGCACGCGCAGTGCAGCAGCCGACACGGACGAGGAATCCGACACCAATGCAGACGCTATGGACGAGTTCGAAACGCCCAGCAAGGTGCGAGGGCACGAGCTTGTCCGCGATCCGCTATCAACCCGCGCCAAACGCAGGACGCGGTCAATCTTGTCCGACTCGGAGTCCACAGCACCTTCTATACAGAAGACCTCGCTGCAGGATGTTTTCCAGAGCCGCAACACGTCCGTCTCCGCTGCCGATATCGACGCACATCCTCACGAAGAGCCCGCAGCGAATGGCACAAACGGCGAGGATGTACAATCAGATACATGGACGTGCCAAGTCCGAGGCTGCAGCAAGGTCGTGTACAAGTGCAGCACGAAACGCGGCAAGCAGCTGATCGAGGATCACTCGCTGGCTCACGCGGATGATACCAAAGCAAAACTCGATCTAGTTTTTGCGGAACAGCGACTCAACATCGGCCTCCCTGTGGATAATCTTCTCAAACGTATCCGGGAGATGGCAGGGGGGGAGGACATCGGCCTTGCGGATGCGGAAGGCGCGGTGAACGGCGCTTCCGACGCAGTAGGAGCGTGACCGGCAAGCATAGAACGATACACCAAGATACCCACATGAAGTGACGATGATGATGGCTGCTCTTTCCAACACAGAATTGAATGCTGCGGTAGTCTGGTCAATTACCATCATGGCAGGCCGCCTAACCATGAAAGGCTAGACATACCGGTTCCTCGTATTAATTGTCCCCAAGTCCCAGAGCAGGTAAACAATGTGACTGAGAAGCCACCTTTACCGGTGTGTCTGAGCACAAGACCAAGCAGCAGGCTCACACCACATTATCGGAGATGCAATGGGTCGCTTCCATAGTATGATGATATGACACCACAATGAGATACCACTTTTAGCCCTTCCAACTACATAGTACACAACCGCAATAGCGATTTACCACATGCCGTCCAACCATGACCATGGATTAGTTCAATATACACAAGTTTCATAACCCTGACCAAGCACAGTCACGGTGTCTAATGGGGTGTGATGGGGGGGAGAGTAAAAATCGAGACAATTGCTTTTTGTAAAATAGAAACCCAAACGACCCTCATCCGGTATCCGAGCAAGCTAGAAAATGATGAAAATGTAGGAAACAGAAACGATGAAGAAAAAGAATATCAAGCACGACCCTTGGCAGCAGCTCTCCTGCTCTTACCGGGTCTCTTGGCGCCGCCGCCGCCACCACCACCACCACCTCCCCTCGAACCGCCCTTCATCTTCCGGACGGAGAAGTCGCGCATATCACCACTCGAGACGGCATCACCGCTCTTGGAGTGGCGCTTCTTCCCGCCGAAGCCGTACTTCTCGTTCTTCTTCTGACGCTTGGCGTTGGTGGCGCCGTCGCTGCCAAAGGCACGTTTCCGGTTGTTGGGCTGGGCATCGTCGATGGCGATGTCGAACATCTCGTTGGCGTTGTCGGCCTCACCGGAGGTATCAGCCTTGCGCTCTGTGGGAGGCAGAAGGTTAGCGGGGTGTCCGAATCGACCCGATTCCCCATACGAAGCAGCAGGGTAAAAGAAAAGTTGGGGGGGGAGGGGGGGGCATACTCTTCTTCAGATCATTGATCTTCTCCAAGGTCTCGCGCTTCTCCTTGGCGCGCTGCTGCAGCTTGGCGACCTGGACCTGCTTGCCGAACTTCTTCAGGTCGCGCTGCTTGCGGGCCTCGGCGGCGGCCTTCTTGGCGGCGGCCTCGTCGTACAGCTTCTTCTTGATCTTGTCCATGTGCTCGTCCGTCTTGACCATCTCAGCGAAGTAGTCGCCGGGGCGGGTGAAGGGGATGCCCTCCTTCTTAAGCAGGGCGCGCGCCTGCGTCGCCGCCGCCTGGCAGACCTTGTAGAAGGCGAGCTCGCGGGTGAGGTCGTCGTTGGCGTCCGGCACCTCCATCTCCTCCTTCGACACCAGCGAGTTGTGCTCCGAGAAGGGGGTCTGCGCCGAGATGAAGGAGATGCGCTTCAGCGAGGCCGTGATGGCCGCCGAGTTGTTAATGGTCAGCCGCTGGTGCGGCACCACGTCTTCACGCTCGTCGTCCTCGAGGTCGCTCAGCGGGATGTCGGATTCTTCGGCTTCTTCGTCTTCCTCCTCTTCTTCCTCTTCGGCGGCGGATTCGTTCTCGGATTCTTGGTCTTCGGCAGATTCTTCCTCCTCCTCCTTCTCGTCTCCCTCCTCAACCTTCGACTTCTTTGCGTTGTCCTCCTCCTTCTTCTCCTCAGTCACCTCCCCCTTGGCCGCCTTCTTCTTGTTCGCCGCCCTCACGAGCTTCTTCTGCTTCTCGGCATCGTAGTCCCGGCCGCGGTGCTCGTCCAGAGCTTGGAGCAATTTGCTTCTCTTCGGCATTGTGACAGTTTCTGTGTATTTCCGGTTGTAGACTCCGGATCTTTTAAGGGATAAGAAGGGAGAAAAAGATCACGGAGTTGTGGTGAAAGTGAAGGAGATCTGTCGGACTTTGGCTTCTCGAATCTTTGCGGCGGGAATTTTTTTGGACGGCAGGCTAGACTGTCTTGGGATTAGTGGCTGCGTCCTGCTGCTGACGGTGGGGCGGTCGGCTTGGGTGCCTGGGGCAAGCACAGGGTAGGTGTCTGGGCGGTGAGAGGTTGCCGTTCATTGAAGGCCTTGTGGCCTGAGGCAGAGATCGGCTACCGCTGGTCGGACTAGGCTTGATTTGGTAGTTTGATTGGGCTTCATACTTTGTAGGAGCGTCTTACCGGATATGTCCTTGGAGAAGAATATGGAACTTTCACTTGGTTTCTAAGTATAAGTTTACTTATCTTATGTAAAGGTTGATGTGACTTGGGTGCAATAGACCCCGATTGGTTTGGTGCGCTGTACTACTTGCTTGGATCATCAGAGACAAGTTACCTAGTATAGGTATGCTTTCAGGTAGTCTATTTTCAGTGATTCGCCTATATGGCATACTAAGGAGACAGTCTGTGTGCCTGAAAGACATTCGACTATTGGAGTGATCATCAAAAAACATGGGAAGAACAATAAGGTAGTCTTCAGTACTCCGTAGCATCTATACAACCTCACTACATCTCTCGCTTAAAATACCACGCTAATATGTTCAAAGCCCCCTTGTAGATAGCTTCCTAGCCATCAGACTATACACCGTTGACGGTCAGAATAAAATCTCCCAAGAGTCACACCCATAAGCTCCCCACCAGACCGACCATCATCTCCCGCCCTCACCCAAGCCCACCTATGCACCAAACAACCCCCCAGAAACACCCAACCTACCGAACAAGAACCACCTTCCCCCTCCCCTCATACCTTCCATTAGCAAACTCATAAGCCTCCCGCACCCTCTCAAACGGATACGACCGATTCACCAACGACACCAACGCCCCTGCCCCCGCCAACCCCGCCAGCCAGCGCAACTCCTCCCCACCCCCCGCCACAACAAAGAACAGCGCACGAACATCCCCCCTCCATATCCCACGCTCCTTATGCCGTTCCACAAAATCAAAGCTACCCGAATCCACCGAAATCAGCACCCCGCCTACCCTAACACACCCCCAGCACCGCGCCAACACCTCCCCGCCCACCGCATCAACCACGACATCAAACCCCGCCTGCCACTGCCGCTGCTTTGTGGCTGTCTCCAGATCCACATACTCAACCGTCTCATCCGCCCCCAGCCCGCGCAGGAACTCCCCGTTCCGGACATCCGAGCTCGTCGCACCGACGACGTGGCACCCCTTCACAGCGGAAGCAAGCTGCACCAGATGAATCCCCACGGCGCCGGCGGCGCCTGTTATCAAGATCCTGAGCTGGGGAGCATCCAGCTCTTCATCCCGTGAGACGGACTGGACGGACTGGGAGTGGGATGATTTCCCCCGCTTCTTGTCCATGATATTCTGTGCAGCATCCTCGATCGAAGGCCGCGCAATCACCCCGAAATGCACGAACAGCGCCTCGTACGCCGTCAGTGCACTCAGCGGTAACCCCGCCGCTGCCTCCCAGCTCAGTCCGGCGGGCTTGTGCGTGATTTCTTCGGCGCTGACGACGGTGTACTCCGCCCAGGTGGCGGCGCGGTCGGCGTGCGCCATGCCGAGGACCTCGTCGCCGGGGTGGAAGGCGCTGCTGCTGCTCCTGTCGAAGACTTCTATGACGATGCCGGCGAGATCGTTGCCGGGGATGGCGTAGTCGTGGTGATAGGTCTCGGGCCAGGTGAGCATGTCCCGGACTATGGTTGTGGCGTGGACGCGGATGAGGAGCTCGCCCGGTCGAGAGGGTTTGGGGATGGGGATTTGTCGGTCCAGATGCAGGGCGGATGCGGGGGCTGGGTTGGTGGGGGAGTATGGGCTGGTGCTGGTGGGCGGGGCGGGGTGGAGGCGGATGGCTTGCATTTTTGTTGGTGTTGGCGTTGGGGTGATGGGTTGCGAGGTGGTGCTGTGGTTGAGGAGTTTGAGGATGGAGTGAGGCAGGGTGGATTGTTAGATATGTGCTTGCTTTCGTGTATGGGGTTCCATTGGCATGAGAATAGTGGAACTGTGAAAAGTGGAGAAATAATAACCTCCCTGAATGAAGGATTAAAAAGCTATATAGGACAAATGCAGCTGTGGAAGACTTTCAGTCTGGAGGGAGTATCCCATATCCCGTATCCCGAATAGCCTATCCGTTGGATACCCGGGCACGAACCCCCTCACCCTGAGTAACCGGCGAGCATCAACACTCAAGCTATTCTATCAGGCTATTAAAGGCAATCTCAAATCGTAGCCCGACTCTATTCCTCTTGCGCTTTCCAATCCAATCCCACAAGCATAAAGGAATCCCATCCCCCGCACCAACAGTCCAAGTAAACTGGAAGGCCCATACAACTTCCCTAAAACCCCACCCTCGAACTATACAATACATCCCTCACAATGGAAGAACCGACCTACGACCCAAGGTACATCCCTCACATGCACAGCCTCATAGCGATACTAACAACACAAGCCGCCCCCTCGCAACCACCACCCTCGTCTACCAATACAAACTAGTCAACTGCCCCGGCAAGACCATCGTCGGCTTGCTGGTCGAATACCCCCCCAACGGCGCCACGCCGCCTCACCGACACGGTGGCGCGTCCGTGTCAGCCTACGTGATCAGGGGCGCCGTGCTGTGCAAGATGAACGACGACCCGATGCGGACGATCGAGCAGGGCGGGTCGTGGTACGAGGCGCCCGGGTGCCATCATCGGATCAGCGCCAACGCCAGCGCGACGGAGCCGGCGGCGTTCTTGGTGAGCTTTGTGCTGGAGACGGAGGTTTTGGAGCGGGATGGGCCGGGAGTGCTGGTGCAGATTGACGAGGAGTATAGGGAGGTTTTTGCGAGGAAGATGACGGAGGCGTGAGTTTGCATAGGAGGAACGCGCTTCCTCGGGCTTTTCAGTAGAGGTGCCCTGGGAGACTCAGTCGCTTCGTTGTTTTTGTGCTCAATCGACTGCCCCCCTGGCTGAAAATTCTGTATATGTTTCTCTTTATCTCATGATCAAACAGAGACAAATCGAAGTAGTTGGTTGAGGATTGATGCAGCCTTGATACTCCAGTTGTAGAAGATGATGAAGTATAGAACGAAGTAAACCGCCGCTAATCCCGAACGGGCACGCCATACCCTTTGCGGTACTTTGCTTGTTTCCCGGCGTGCCTTACTTTGCCTCTACAGCTCCATCAACGAACAACTGGTATCAGAGCTCATCCTTCATACTTGCTTTTCAATCTACAATCTCGGAGTTCACACTCAGTGCTCAATACAAAGAAAAATACCCTCAACCATCCTGTTACCCCTCAACTCTACACCACGCTCAAGCCCACCACGGAAGCGGACACCCACCGGGCAACGTTCCGACCCATCGCCGCGCCGCCGCGCCGCCGCCATTCCCTCCGCCCCGTCCCCTCCATACCTAACTTATCAACCTCCCAACTGGAACTTGAAAAGCCCCTCCAATCCAGCGACACCCAACACAACACAAGACCACCACCTCGAACCGAAGAACACAGCACAGCAAAATGACCGAAGAAACCAAATCCCTTCCTCCTCCGCCTCCACCTCCCCCACCTCCAACTAGCACGGTCCGTCTACCGCTACCCCTGCCCCTGCCCTGCCCATCACCATCACCCTCCCTATCCTCTCCGTGCACATAAGATACCACCTCCCCCCCAAACCAACCCCAAACCAACCCCAAAGATACCCTATACCAAACACTAACACCCCAAAGCTCTCCCCCCAACCCACCACAACCACCCAAACACCACCAAAAACCACCACCCCGGCCCCCGCCCCGGCCCCGGTCCCCGAAATCCAATCCGAACTCAACGCCGCAGTCGACGACCTCCTCGACCAACTCCAACATAAATTCGACGGCGTCTCGCGCGAGATCTTTGGGAAGTGTGCGTTTTTTCCTCATTCCCTTTTTCCTCCTTTTATCAGGCTCCTTCGGGCTCTACGGCTCCCACAACTCCCACGACCGCCAGGGGCTCTATCTGCTGCACTGAAACGGGAAGGCAGAGGGGGTTTGTGGTTATGCGATACGATGCGATGCTAACTCTATTCGGGGGGGTAGTGGACGATATGGCGCGGCGGTTGGATGAGTTGGAGGCTTCGTTGGCGTTGTTGGATTCTTCTGCTCCTGCTGGTGCGGGGGCTACTGCTGAGGGTGGGGGCGGGGGTGCTGTCGCTGGGGCAGCGGGGGATGCGGCTGGGAGTGCTAGTCCGGGGAAGTGAGGATGCTTTCTTGGGTTGTGGCTTGGGGGAGATATGGGATGGGGGTGATATGGAAGTGGAGGAGGGTGAGTGCTTGGGTTTTGGACGTTCGGGGCATTCACTGCGTTGGTATTGGTATTGCTCTGATGGAGTTTCTTTTCTCGGTTGGGGTTTGTTTTGGGAATTGGGGGTGGTTGGTCATCAGGACTGGAGAGAGATGTTGGAAGTGTACTCATTGTGTACAGTCGGGTGGTGTGGTTTTTACTGTCGACTTGGTTTAGATACCCCTGTTTTACCTGCATTGCAATCGTGGTGGCTTGTATTGAGCATACTTTCTTTTTTCCTGGGGGAGGAGGCTAGCATAGATGAGAGTCCTTATCATCATCGTCATAGAATCGCTTGATTTTCCCTGGTATCATACAAGGACCGATTGATAAGTTCACTAGAGACACAACAGAGGACCGAAGTCACAGCCGTAGCACCCTGCATCTTCCAATCCGCTTGCCCCCCCCACCCTCAAACGAAAACACAAGATATCTACAACTCATCCTTCTCCTCGTGGGCCTCCTCCAGAACAAACTGGCGCAGGATGTTGCTGCGCGAGACAAGATCATCCAGCTTCTCCGGGGCGGAGCCGCCCTTGGCGAGGATCTTCTCCAAGCGGGCCAGCTCCTTGGTGACGTACTCGGCGTTCTGGCTCAGCTTGTCGGCGACCTTGACGTAGTACGGGGCGTACTGGTCGGTCAAGCCCTCGGCGGCCTTCTTAATCTCCTCCTTCAGGGTGGCAGAGGTGGGGCCACCGGCCACGATCAGCTCGTTCAGCGCGGCGATGGTGCCGGCCTGGGCGTTGAGCCCGCCGCCGACGGCGCGGTGGGTGCCGGCGTGCTCGTTCAGGAAGTCGACGAAGGCCTGCTCCGAGCGCGCCCCGTTGTACACGGTCGCCTCCGTGGACCCGCGCGGGAAGAACTTGATGGTCGGGTAGCCCGTCACGCCGTTGGCCTTGGCGGTAGCCTTGCTGTTCTCGCCCTCGGCGTCGACCTTGGCGATCACCACGTTGGCCTCGCGCGCGAAATCGTTCGCCAGCGTCTCCCAGGTCGGAGCCAGGTTCTTGCAGTCTACCACCCCCGCATCACAGGTCCATTAGCGTCATCATCGTTCCAGAAGGTAACAAAAAGGGAAGAGGAAAAACTCACGCCCACACCAAGGCGCCGTAAACGCGACCAGAACATCCTTCTCCCCACCCACGACCTTCCCGAACGTCTCATCCGTCAACATCTCAACGGCACTGGGCTCCTTGGCCGCACCGCCGCGGGGCTTGACGCCCGTCTTCTCCGTGATAAACGCCGACAGACTCTCTAGATCCCGGCCGCCCTTGTAGTCTTCCGGAGTGTCGCTCTTCCCGTCGAACCACTTCAGCGTGGGGAAGCCCTGGACCCCGAACTTCCGGCCCAGGTCGCGGTGCTCGTCCGCGTCGACCTTGGCGACGGTCACCTTGTCGGTGGCGTGGGCGAAGGCCTGCGAGAGCTCCTCGTAGGTCGGGGCCAGGTTCTTGCAGTGGCCGCACCAGGGGGCGAAGAACTCGACCAGCGCCGGCTTGCCGGACTGCAGGACGATCTCGTCGAAGTTCTTGGGGACCAGGTCGACGACGGCCGCGCTGGCGGTCGCCGCTGCCAGGGTCAGGTAGCTGGCCAGATGGCTGAGGCGGACCATCTTTCTTTTCTTCTTGTTGTGTAGTGGTTGGGGATGGATGAATGTTCAGCGAGAGGGGGAAAGTGGGCAGGTTCGAACTGCCGATGATGAAATCGGGGGAGAGTTTGTTGATGAAGTAATAAAGTAACAGCCGTAACAGCCCAAATGTAGCGCGGTTGGGGGAAGCTTCCGCGGCGGAAAGACTGCGGAGGCCGAAGCGGGTCGGAACCGGAAGAGGACACTTGGTAAGTTGTTAACAATGTATTATTATCATCACTAAGCAATCAACTCCTCCCAACTTGCCGTATTTGCTTATAAGTACGAAGTACGGGTAGATTACTCAACATGCATGATCAGGTTGATTGTTAATCATTCACCTATTTACTCAGAGCTAGGGGGAGGTCGGCGTTACGGAAGTGCAATGCTCAGCATAGTTTCGCCACCGGCCACAAGACAATCCCGGCTCATCCGATCCCATCTACCAACAACCGGCCCATCACACCATATCTTCTTGATAGTTCGCGCTAGATGGCTATATTTGCAGCACCTACATGAGCTTGAAATACTACGCGGGTTGCCGGACTGTCGAGCAGACCCTGTTCGGTACCTTACATGGGTGATCGTGATGTCGTTCGTTGCTGGTCATGGACTAGCTGCTATCATTGACCCGTGTGTCCATAGAGCAGAAGTCGCATCTCCAGTGATTCGTCACCGTCGCTCGGCGAGCCAGCGGTTTGCCTCTTCCCATTTGTTGCCATCCTTAAACTCCCGTCCTGCGTTTTGCGATGCGCGGTAGACCTATACAACAATCAATATGTAGTCAACGCATCTCCGCTGGAATCACCTACCGCATCCCAGAGCTTGAATGCCATGTCGAGGTTGCCGGTAAAACTGTCGCTATGTTGGAACCATTCCTTGCCCTTGGCCTTGACCTCTGCCCGAGCTTCGGGCGAGGTGGGATTGGCTTGCAGGGGCAGGTCGTCCAGGTAGGTGCGCACAGCGATTCCAAGACCGCAGTCATTGTCGTCAATGAATGGAAGCCTGCATATGTCAGATACATCCCACATGAGAACTCCGGATTCACTCACTTGGCGCTCAACTCGCCCCAGTCTTTACGGTCCCGCTCAGCGTCACCACTGAGCAGGAGACCAGCCAGGACCACCTCGATGAGGTTCCGTAGAGTAGAGCGAACCTCCGAGATCAACGAGCGATAACAAAGCAGCTGCCTACTCAAGGGACCCGAGTACCCAATGCTCTTGTGTTGTAACTTGGCGATACATGCCACGCGCGATACGAGCATGTTGAAGCTCTTGTCCTCATCTACAGGATTGGGTCAGCCATGGTTCCAGCCCTAGGGCAAAAGTTGTCTTACCGGATCCCCTCATGGGTCCACCAGAGACATGGGAGAACCACTGCTTAGAGTTCAAAAGGCCGAAACGGATCATTTCAATGGCAAGGAACGTAGCCTCCTCGAGCGAGTCGACAGGGTCGAGCACAGACAACGCCTGCTCGAGACATACTCCCCATGGCGTAAGTTGATGTTTCTCGTCAATATAACCGCGGAGTTGCAAGAAGCGCCAATGTACGTTCGCAAGGATCTCGTCTTGCGTCGTCAATAGCTGTGAATGATTAGATCATATAGCTCTGAACGATTCGGGAAGGAGCGTACTTGTGCGTCTCGTGCAGACTGCGTCTTTGAACTGAAATCGGAGTCCTTCAAGCTCTGGACCGCGAATTTGAAACGACCAGTCGATGTCTTTATATCAATGAGTAAGCATCCTAATGTCATCTTGCAGTGAAAGCACCTACCTGCAACTTCTTCAAGTCCTCCGGGAGCTGTGCGGTGCGGATCTTCCAGGCCTGGTTGGTCTCCTTGACGGAAGGTAGTGTCTTGAGGTTAATTATAGACTGTGGGTTCTCTTCGTACCAGGTACGGACAGTGATATCCTTGGTCTGGTAGAATCGATGGAGAGAATGCGACAGCAACAACATCGCTTGAGTTCGGACCGGTGTGAGCGTGCTACCAGCAACTTGGCGATAGATTTCAGTATCCTCAACCCCCAGCGGCAGAGATACGGATACTTCACCCGACGTCAGATAATTGGGCACGTCAGGGCCCAGAACACCCTTGGACAGGTAGAAGTAAAGCTCTTCTGGCAGACGCAGGCCGATCAGCTCGTGCACATCTGATGAAACATTCTCCGGGTCCAACGGCCCCACTCGTCCGTCGACATCGATGTAAACGTGGTGCTTCACTGTCATGAGAGCGCGCTTGTAGCGATCCGTATATTGGAGCTCCTGCATGCGGCGGTCCTCCTCGAATTGGGCGCAGAGGGTGAGGGCGCTACGCCCGGCGATATTGAACATTGGGATGGCATCACGGACGATCGCGCCCTTACCGGGGTTGAGGGGATTCTCGAAGATAGGGAAGATGGGGAGGAAGGTGGATCCCAGCACAAGGCAGAAGTCGAGGAACTGTTCATTCGACATTCCACCCAGCTGCTCTTGGCAGGTCTGTTTGTTGATCCAGAAGAATTGTGCGGGGTCGATATCAATCCGCGTGATCAGCTTATCGACGTCGAACAGGAAGGTTTCGGAGGATCCGCAGACCGCATCGATGAGGGGGTTCGGGCCTCTGGTCAGGTAGGCGAGCTATGGGAAACGGAGCGGAGTGTGAGATGATACACTTCAATCTCGTAACAAGTTACTTCTTACCTGAGCTGCAGCACTGTAGGGGGCCACGATGTAATCGACGCCGTTCTGGTGTAGAATGCGCTGCAAGAAGCGGTAGAGGGAATCCGGGCGGGGGGTGCCTTGGCCAAACAGACGGGAGTCAGCGCATGTGATATCCAAAAACCAGCCAATGCATGACTGCATACCGGCGCTGCTGAAGGCGTCCACTACTTGGTCGGCCTGCTGCTGATCGTAGAGGTCCCAAGCTTGCTCGAATGCCCGGACGGCTTCCTGCTGGACCTGGGGCCGTTGGTCCTTTTTGCCGAAGTCGAGGCCATTGAACACGAAGACGCAGGCGATGCCCAAATCCTTGAAGACCTGGAGCTCCTTCTCGATGTTGTTCTTCAACGCGAACGGGAATCCGCCCAGTGCGACCAAAAGGGGCTCGCGGGAGGAGGGGTGAACGAGGTGCTGGGAAATGTAGTGCGACGCATCAATACCGACGACCGCCCCTTTCAGAGCAGCAAGAGGGAGTGACTGGGTGCGGGTGGAGGCCCATTCATCCAACGGACGGACTATTATGAGCCACGAGTACACATTAGCTCAGTGGGAAGGGGAGCAGGCAGCGCAGCGTGAGCTACAGGTAGGGACTCACTCGGCATGGTGGAAGCGGAAGCTCTGTCACGGACTTTAGACGCGGGAACCGATATCAGGCATGGAGAGCTCCAGAGGAGCGGGGAGTGGGAAAATAATGTAGGGCCGTGAATAGATCTGTGAGTGGGGAGTAGGACCCAAGTGAAAGGAGGGGGAAAGGGGGGAGAGAAGGAGGATATGAGGGTCAGAAGACAGTTGTTGGAGAGATGATGCGACAATCGGATGTCAAAGGCGGAGGGTGTTTCGGGCGGGACAATCACGAGGGCGGTGTTGATTGCCGCCAACTGGTGTATCACCACCAAGCAGTTGGCGTTGATGGAACGAAACTGACATTGATAAATAGTACGGGGATTCTGAAATGGGATAGATGATTGCAATCAGCGTCGAGACCGATGTTAGCCCTCATTGACTATGTGATCCTTGGTGTATATGTATATATCTTCCGTGAGTTCAGAACTACGAGAATGTAGAGCGAAACATGCAATGGTTGTATATTCTGTGTTTAGAAGCTCCGAATTGGGGGTTTTTTTTTTCAACGGGTCCAGACCATCTACCTCAAGCATAAATCTTCTAGTTGCAAAGCACAATACACGATTCTACGTTTCCTTGGCGATTCTCCATATCACCTAGCATAGCTTGATTAAGAGCAAGATGACGAAGAACCATCTGTCAGGGCTACCGATCGAATCGAGCTCTCCATTGCTCGATGTATGCCTGAAAAGGGACAGATCTTATGAATGCATATGCCCTACATAAACATCAAGCCATAAACGCTGTCGGGACCATTCCAAACCCACGACAAAACCTATCCAATCAATCCGAGGTGCCAAGCACTGGAGGATAGCAACGAACCAGACCTTGTCTGGATATCTCGCTGACTCCATTTCTCCAAATGAAGGGTGGAAACACCATAGTTCCCAGTAGCCGAGAGAGCGGCGCGGCGGTGGATTTGATTCGATCAGATCTCAGATGGGGCTTGGTGGACACTCGACCAGTTGCAATGGGTGGGATGGTAAAGGAAGATAAGGATTGAGTGATTATGAGTGACTGCTTCCTATTCATACAATGTGGAAGCTTCAGAGGTGGGATGTCACAAGTTGTTGCTGGTCAGCAGCAAAGCAATACTATCGGCACTGTCAATGCATGAACTGACACTTTATACCTTTATACTAAGTACTCTTATCAGACTGCATACCTTATCCAAACAATTGACCCCGACAGGAAGCCTCACGCCATCCACCCATAGAATAATACCAATTAGAAATGGAAACGCCGTCACCTCCAGCGACAGCCGATATGGAAACCCACTTGGTAGGCCGATTGCTGGAACCGAGCCCATTTCCCCATATGGAGCCGACCGCCGCGGCATTTGATAGATAGCGAGAGCTCCCGATAAGTTCACTGCCTACTGGACTTTAAATAATAAATCTTTATACTGCCCCTCAGCGCCAGCCCACTGCACTTTCAGCTGACTCGAATCTTCCATTCGCTCCTTCAACCGCCTATTCCGTTCACAATGACCGACACCACCTTGGTCGGGGCGCCCATCGAGCTGCCCGTCCTCGACATCTCCAACCCGCTGGACCCTAACGCGGGGAAGGCGATGCTGGATGCAGCCACCACCTACGGGTTTCTGTACGTCGACAGCAAGGGCACCGACTTTACCCCGGCGGACGTGAAGCGGGCATTCGAACTGGTAAGTCATGATCTCAGTGAATGCATTCACAACCGCATTGCTTTGCTGTTCCGTCCACAACTAACCAGAAACCAAACCACCCAGTCGCAAACCTTCTTCAAATCCCCCGCCGAAGAAAAAGCGACCTGTCGCATCGAACCCAATGTGCGTCTGCGTCCCCTCGCTCACCTCAGCCCCAAATGACAATCACCTCTAATGGTACCCTCCAGAACCGGGGCTGGTCCGGAATGCACGTGGAGACCCTGGACCCCGAACACCAGCGAGTAAGATCTCTACCAACCCTCTACCCGTATGAAGACCCTCTACGCA